GGGTGTTGGTGAGGGAGTTTGGTGATGGTGGGGTAGGGTAGAGGGTGGTGTCAATTCTGTCAGCTGGCTACAAGCATCATCATGTGTCCAGAGACAGTGGCCGCTGTTTTGTGCCCAATGCTGTCCGAAACGTCACAACACGGGGTAAACACGGAAGTTTTTCCTCTCCTCTATGCTGTGGGAACGAGGGGGGTGAGATTCTCTCTCTCTCTCTCTCTCTCTCTCTCTCTCTCTCTCTCTCTCTCTCTCTCTCTCTCTCTCTCTGTCTCTCTCTCTCTCTCACAGTCACAGGTGGCTAATGGTAAATGATGTTTGATAATGATGATGAAGAAATATCGGCTTGACGCGTCCACCTGCTTTCTCATATGTCAGTATCTAGGTTTTGTTTTCTTTCCGTCTGTTTGTCAGCACGTCTGATCACGTGACAGTTTCCCTGTCAGGCTTTCCGCCAACTAGCGATGTCGTCAAACGGAGCTAACAGATTCATCACCGCTCGTCAAAAAACATATTTAACTCACCCCACCCCCCACCCCCCAAAAAAAAGAAAGGGGAAGAATTGATGCCAGTTTCGGTGGCAAATACGATTATGTCTCAGAATTAATCTGGTCTCTTTCTATTTAAAGTCACCGAAATTTCTCTTTTCAAAAATTTAAAAAAGAAGGCCAATAAAAAGAAAATAATTAAAACCTGACCAACTATTCTTTGGACGCTGCTTGTAAATTACATATCCTGCCATCCTAAGACCTAGATCGAGCTGAGGACGCCGTAAAATATGGCCCTGCGTGGGTTGCTGTGAAACAGCGAGCAGAGGTTCTCGATAACATTCCTTGATTACATTAATTTATCCGTCACCGCCTTTTGTCATGACTAACTTTTCTGTGCAACGTTTGAACGATAGACTAATAGACACGCAGCTATCGAAGTTATAGGGTGGAATCAGGGAGACCGGGACCATAGAGGGTAGAGAAACACGGACAACATTATTTATCGGTTTATGCCATCTTGCGGGTGATAATTTTGTTATAAACTAATTAGTATTACATTTTTCCATGATCGCCCTTGGCGGGGAAATCACGCCACAATCACAGGTCGGGGAAATAGAATGCTTCTAGCATTTTGTTTTTGTTTTGTTTGACTGTTTTTCCACACTAATAATTATGTTGCGATATAGTTGCTTGATATCTAGACATCACTTGTGAATACAATTAAAAATGAAAAATCCCGAGGTGTGAACGATAAGCGGAGTGGCATGTGACCGCCTCTCCAAGTGTTGGAACCCTCACCTGATTGGTTGAGAAAAGATACGGATGAGGTGACACATGAGACAGATAGCCAGGATACGCAAACAGAAGGCGCGCGCGTGCATAGCATGATCCGTGGTCGGTGGGTAGGTGGGTGGGTTATAGTTCTGGCGCGGGCTTTGGGTCTGTATATATATATCACATCAGGACAATGACCGGACGGCCCACAGTAGGACTTGAACCTATATGTTCTTAGAGTTGAACACGAACTCCTGACTTACTTCATCATTATCTGTGCGTCGTGTGACTGAGAGAGCCGGACCTCCTGAAATCTGTGAGAGTAGTTGCACCTGACTGGCAGATTTGTGCGCGGATATTGAACCTTTAAAACAGAATACATTGTGCATGTGGCAGAACCAGAATTACTTCCACAAAGCTACTGGTTGAAGGTACACGTAATATTATTTCTTTAGACTTGTTATTGACTTGTTTTCATATTGTCATTTGCTGACCGAGACATACACAAATTGTACGACCGACAACTTAAATAAATAAATAAATAAATAAATAAATAAATAAATAAATAAATAAAGGAATTAAAAAATAAATAAATAAATAAATAAAGGAATTAAAAAATGGATAAATAAAAAAATAAGAATAAATGAATAACTAACTAACTAATTAACTAACTAACTAACTAACTAACTAACTAACTAACTAACTAACTAACTAACTAACTAACTAACTAACTAACTAACTAACTAACTAACTAACTAACTAACTAACTAACTAACTAACTAACTAACTAACTAACTAACTAACTAAATACTTGTACTGCTTCGCAAGTTTACTAATCGTGAAATAATTTGGAATCACTACTGCTCACACTTGTAACGTTGTTGCTCGTGTGGCGTGTTTTCTGATCCAACAATTCGCCACGGCAGTGCTGCTTCTCCTGAACTATTTCTATTCTCTGCGTATAACTTAGTGGTAGAAAAAAGACGAGGCGTCATTTTCTTAAATAATGGGCGCAAAAAAAAAGAAAAGAAAAGATAAAAAGAACACAACCTACTGCAAAAGATATAAATTGTTTTGTTTTGTTTTTCAAAAGTAAAAATTCTGTTTGTGTGACTCAGTAGGAACGTCAAAGACAGACTTTCTCCTGCCAGAAGTAGTACTGTTTGTCTAGCTCTAAAAGTGTATCCGGAATTTTAAAACAAACAAACAAACCAACCAACACAACTATGCGCTGGTGAGATAAGACGCGCGGAGGACAGAATGGACGGAGACGAGTAAGTACATACGTAAGTTGTGGTCATCGTAGGTCAGTGGTCAGTCTCGGGGGGCCGGAGTGAGCGCAACAAGGGTCAATAGACGTGTGCGGGGGCAGTGAGCGAGAAATTGTGATCCGATCAGTCGAGCGAGATCGTCAGCACCTATACCTACACACACACACACACAGACAGACACAAAAATGCCGCATTCCTTTCTCAGACCTGCTTGTGTCAGCGATTTTCTGCCGTCCGCTGACTCCACAAGGAAACGCGATATAATGACAACAGGCATCGAAACACCATAGAGAAGGAATCATATAAAAGTGATGTGTCGTGTTTTTAATTGTTTTCCAATTCCATAATTATTTTGGCATTGTTTCCGGATCTCTTTCTCTTTTGGAATTTTCCATCGCCATACGTAAGTTTGTTTCCATCTATCTATATAATAATATCTGCCTCTCTGTGAAGAAGTTTTTTTTCTTTCTTTTATTCATTTTAATATCTAAATTATCTAATGAATTAACTTTTTTAGAAACATGTTTGTCTTATCTACTCATATTTTTTCCTTATTCATGATTTAACCAATTAAAGAGATAAATAAGAGAGAGAGAGAGAGAGAGAGAGAGAGAGAGAGAGAGAGAGAGAGAGAGAGAGAGAGAGAGAGAGAGAGCATAATAATAACCCTTGTGGAAGGCAATAGCGAGTAGTTCTACATGTACATTAATTGACGACATCCACAATCGGCCGTCTCGTGTCCCAAAAGGTTTCGTGGACTCCAAAAGCGTCCCGTCCCGTCACGTCTCTGTGTTTGGCTCTACCAGTCTTGGCGACTCACTCACTGTACAATTTTTTTTTACGTTTCAGAGGAAGAAAAGTAAATTTCAAAACCTTGTATAAACAAAGAAGTTAATATTATGCTTCTTTTTCTAAAGTGCCCACCTTCCATCTCCCTTCCCGTGCCTTCCAAAAAGTGCGTCTTCAAGCGTTCTGATTGTCGCGAATTACTCGTAGAATGCCTGTCTCCAATGAGTGAAGCTGCTGCTGCCGGGAGCGGCGGGGGGTCGGGGGGTTGAGTTGATGAGGGGGAGGGGGGGGAGGAGTGAAAAAAAGGGGGGGGGGTCCATTCGGACAGACACGAGTTAGTTCCCGTTAGTTCCGGTCAGGTTCAGGCGGTGTGCTGTTGTGTGGAGTCAAACACGAGGCTCTCAGCTGTCCGGCCCGGCGTCCTGTCCACTCGCCGCCCGTCTTGCTCCCTCCCCCGTCCCCTACTGTGTGCGCCGTAAACTCCTTACCCTACCTGTCGCTATTGTCGTCAGTCGCCCAACACCTTTGTTTTTATTTCTGTTTGCTCCCCAGAAGATTAGATCCTGAAGAAGAAGGCATTTGACACACAGGTGCTATTTCTGGAAGACAACTCGCGGGCTGCCTGACGGGGCACACAGAGAAAAGGGAAACCACTCCAGCTTTATTTTCCCGTCGTCTGCCGACCCAAAGACCCGGCGCCTTCGTCACGTGACAGACGTGGTGAACCAGGAGCAGGTTGTGTGGACATTGTAGCGGTCAGTGCTGCTGCTCACACCCCCGTACAGACCTACCAGTGACAGAGGGACCGTGTCATTGACAACTGACCACTGCCGCGTCACCGACATCATCAACATGGTGGCTGTCACGATCTACCTGGGCCTGGCTGTTGCCGGCCTGGTCTACGCCTACTTCCAGATGTTTTACCGGAAACTGTGAGTATATGATATGTATATGAAATAATATAATATTATAACATAATATAATTTAATAAGATATGATATAATATTATATAATGTAATGTAATGTAATGTAATGTAATAATATACTGTACCTCAACCATTCATTTGTGATTTTGATTTATTTTTTGATTGATTGACTAATTAAGTACTCGTGATCACAAATGATCTAGTCCCGCTATGACATAGATGAGGACGTTTTGAAAGCCGGCTGGTGACTTGGATGCTGCTTGTCAGTGCCAGTGTACCCAGGGCCGGTTGGGATACAGCGGTGCTGTCAAAGTGCCCTGAGCTGTCTTACGGAGTGTCGTTATACATAGAGTTTCACAGATAATGTCACGTTACTGCATAGCCTATATGTAGATGCTTCAGTTGTGGATTCGGAAATTTGAATTTAAGTTAGACAAGATATTATCAAGCTTTTTCGGGACCCTAATAAAATGCTGAGTTGACTGTTTGACGACAGTCATCACTGTACGCTTCTCCTCAATTTAGCCATAATATTATAATATGAATATATATTTTAAAAAAGAAATTCCTTTACATAACACGAACAGTAATAATTATAGAATATTCTTAAAGTCGAATGATAAAAAAACCACTCAGGTGTGCTGATTCTTGCTAGATCCTATTCATGTCCCATAGGTTTAATTAGACAAAATGCGCACCACAAATGGGCTATATACGTGTCAATGGCTAAAGGTGTCACTACATGAAAAACAGGAAGAGACGATACAAGTTTCTCTTACCCAGACTTTATACTAGAGTGCTTCGTGTGCAGGCAGAGTAAGCGTGCAAGTCTCTTAGTTTTGAGTCTGATCTTTTCTTGGTACTAAAAATGTACATAATATTAATGTCGTCGGTCTTTTTATTTTGTTGCAATGTAGTATGACAGAGGAGTATTCAAAAATATATGTAGGTGTAATTTTTTATATTTTTTTAAAATAGAAAACTATTTACACTCTTGAAGTAGTAAGTATAGACGATAGAAAAAGGCTTAAACTCAGACGTTTGCTTGTGACAAGTTTGGAATTTTTAAATAATGGATCCTTGAACGACTTCGCCTGAAGAAGTCCTTATCTTATTTATTTGAAGACGAAAAAGCTCAAATCACTGAGGGAAATAACCTTGGCATGTGTCCTGAATAATTCAACTGGACATTAATTTCTATTCTTTTATTCGCCGCAGACTTAATGGAAGTACTGATCAAATAAGAGTAACAAAAACAGTAGCACTAATTTAATTGAAATCGCGACAGGCTACGAAGTAACGTTATGCCTTTGTGAATCCAGTCACGTAACCGGCAAGAAGAAAAACCGCCAAACTAGCGTATTTTTAGGCCCGACAGACCAGAACGACGTTAAAGGCTTGAGGCGAGTTTGACAACGACATATTAGCACTGCAAATGCCGGTCTCCGGATTCGATCTGCAGAACCAACAGCGGCCCGGTTTTGGGGTCGCACGAAACAGGTGTTTGCGCATTCCGTAGGCGCATCCCAGCTCGGAAGTAGCCGCCGGATTGCCGGTGTGGCAGATTGCACGCGAACGTTTTTCGTTTTTTACACCGGAGAGTGACGCTCGTTTTTCATAAGTGTAGACTTTGCCGCTGCCTTCCTCCAGTTCCCGGGCCTGGTTACCGCGACCTGTGCCCACACTTTGCTACGTGAGCTTGTGGCTGTAAGACAATAGGGAAGTTAAAGAGTCCACACTCCCCCTGTGCTCCCCCCTCCCCCCCTCTCCAATCCTTCTGCGCGACGATGTGAGAAAGCCGTAGACGAATGGACACACGGATATTTACAGAGACAGATAGACAAACAGACGCTCACACGAAAATGCGAAGGGCGGATGTACGTATTGTTTAAAGATAATTAATAGGACTGTAAGACTGAAATGGGGGCGGCGTCTAAAAGAAGTGCTAGGTACGGTTTAACAAAAGTAATAGAAAACGGACAGTGACAAGGGAGGAAAATGTACCACAAGCATAGTACAACACGTCATGTAGACAAACTCCATCAACTGCTATAACGTGTGTGTTTTTCCCTCCCTCCCCAGACGCCCCGGCGAGCCCCCTCTCGCCCCCGGCCACTTCCTGTGGGGCAACGGGAAACAGTTCACAGAGCACGCCGTCAACTTCCTGTCCGAGACGCGCAAGAATATCGGCGACGTCTTCACCGTCCGCTTCCTGAACCAGTACTGGACCATGATGCTGGACGTGCACAGTTACGAGAGATTCGCCCGCGAGAAGAACTTTGACTTTGACGCCATTCAGGAGCAGGTGAACCAGAACGTATTTGGCTACAAACTGGTCGACGCCAGGAAAATGATCTCCGAGGCCGGACAGAAAGTAAACGGGAAGCACCTTTACTCCTCTCTAGAGAACTTCGCGAAAAACCTGAAGAGGAGTCTCGTGGAAACCGCCAACACAGACAGCGATGAGCTGATCACAACGTCCAGCAGCACCACCATCAACAACAACAACAACAGCAAAGATGCACTGTCGAGTCTGAAGAACGAAAAAGGACTCTACGACCGTGTCCACGAAGACGCGCTTTCCCAAACACCCGTCTCGGACATCAACGGACTTCTCAACTCCCAGAAACTTCTAGAAAAACCACCCATACAAACACAGCCCAAACTCAACGACGGTTGGTGCGAGGAGAATCTCCGAGATCTGGCCTCTAAAGCTTTTTTCGCTCCTCTCTTCTACACAATCTTCGGGCGCGGGGAGCCAGGCAAAGAGGGCAACTTCCACCCACAGGCCTTCCACAAGAACTTCGACAAGTTCCACAAGTACTTCAACTTCCTGTGGTTGGGCGTGCCCATCAAGTTCTTCCCCAAGGCTGGAGAAGCCGCCGGGATCCTGGCACAGCAGCCCAAAGGCCTGGACATGATGAACAGAGAGGACTGCTCAGAGTACATCAAGCTGGCCACTGACTTCATGCTCAGACACGAGTAAGTACGCACAGACATACGACATGAACACACAGACACACACACACACACACACACACACACACACACAGACACACGAGCAAAAACATGCGAAAGTACACATTATTCTTCAGTTTTTCATATTATATTACGCGTGTGTGAAAAAAGCGGTTTTAGCATAACATGCAAAATATTATATATATTTACTACCTTCAAGCATTCTAATGTTTAAGAAAGTCATCAGCCACAAAGGATACGCTTGACACAATCAGTCACTTAATTTATTTCTGAAATCATGACAGTAGACAGGCACCCTCGAGGCGTCGTAAGGACAAAAACCACTGAGAAAAAAACAACAACCAAAGAAACAAACAAGTACCCGGAATGACCAAACCAACTTTCATACCATACTAATTATTTGGTACAAACACTTTGTACGCTCACTGTACATCTTTCATCCCCAGGGCCGTCGAGAGCCAGGTCGGGCCCTGGGGCAGCAATCACC